GGTGACACTACCGCCATAGGTGCACCCTTATATGCACCCTTAAATATATATATTTAACATTTAACAAAGGGTGCACCTATGGCAGTTGTGTCACCGGCCATTATGTTTAAATTTAGTACCATTACTTATTATATATTAATTACTTACTATGTAATAATGATGTTAAAAAATTATTATATATGTGTATTCTATAAGTATTCTGGGATTCTTAAGAATTTGTTTTTTTAAACCAACAGGTTTATTCACAACAGGGTGAAGAGTTTGGAGAAGCCAGCAGAAGAGAACAATCTAGGACAACATAGCTGGACAGGAAAGTGAGCTAAATTGAAGATTTTTTCTAAATCAGCCATTTTGGCTTAGATTGTTCACTTCTCCTGCCTTCTCCAAACTCTTCACCCTTTTGTGCATAAACTGCAAAACCCCTTTTTGACTAATCTGAACAGTGCAGGCATGGAAAGGAAAAGGAAAGGAGTAACTCTGATTCTAGTTCTGATTCTTCAAGTTATGTGTATAAATTTCACTTGTCATGTTAAATGTTCAGTTAAATGTTGTCAAGTAGGCTCTGCTCTGTCTTCGCTTCCGTTATGGACCAAAAAACTCAATACAAATTTGTTAACTAAACGTGAGAGTCATCCAGGCATGGAAGTGAGCAAAGCATATGCTCACATATACCACTTTCAAATTAAGTTTATAAACAAAGGATACCAAGTCAGATGCATTGTGAATGCAAAAATTTGGCTTTTTTCAAAATATCATAGCTGGTTGCAGATTGAAGATCTCAAAATAACAAAATGGCTTGTAAAACAATTACATAGCCAAAAAAGCCACATTTGGAAAAGCCAAATTTTCCTTTAAGTGAAAAGCTCAATCCAATTATTTTCAAGTACTTCCACATATGGCAACTTTCATTGCGGGGCACGTATTTGCGTTCATGCTGTCAATTCTGTGCGCCGCTAAATGTACACAGAAAAGTCCATTGTGTTGAGGCCTATGCTATGAATGCACAGATTCGTTCAGGCTTAAGTGAATTGGTCAGTCTGCACTGAGAGTTTAATGATCCGTCCAGTACAGGCAAGGGTGAACTGTGAATGGAGGACCAAACCATCACTATACAGTGCTGGATTATGGGATACCAGCCTCACTGAGCCTCATGGGTGAGAGGAGTTCTAAATAAACAAAGTTCTGTTGCCCAGAGCAGCCGATCACCTTTAAACTGTCAACACAAGTTAAAAAAAAGCAGAATTGGATTGGTTACTATGGGTGTCAAAACATTGCCCTATGGGGCTTAATATGTTTTAGTCTGTTGGGCTTATACATTAAAGCAGCACAAACTGCTCAAATATAAAGGACTCAAATTAATGCAGCACTGTATTTATATGGAATTCGACCTTGTATCAACCCCTTGCATTCCCTGTACAGCAGAGCTCAGACTAGGAGAGGGAGCAGCTCTAGGAGAAAATTAGTTGTGCTGAGGTGCTCATGTGCTAACAAGGAACATGTTCCTAGGAGGAGAAGAGAATGAAAGCTGCTTTTCCTTTCACTGTCCAATCACAGGCTGGGAGAGGGACAAGACCTGTAACTGTAGCTTAACTGCAGCAGACAACCTGCTGCCCTGATACACAGGGTTGCAATTAGTGCTCGATGTTTGAGTCGAGCATAAGCAAAGGACCAGGTGGACAGAGATACAAATCCTTTGGCATGAAACAGTTCCTATATTTGTATTCCATCTCTGTATGTAGCTGTTTGCCTGGAGTTTAGCATTAAAATTAATCTGCCAGCCATTTTAAAGTGGCTCTGTGTCTTGGTTTCTAGGAAATCACAGTTAAAACGTACCTGTCCTGCTGCCTTTGCTGCTGATTTTAGTTCTTCTTCGGAGCTACGGCTGCCTGACAAATCTCCATTCAACACTTCTGAGAGTGTATTATGTCTGTTTCTCTCGCTGTATGCTGTGGTTCCCTCCAGGGGCCCATACTTTGCTACTGTTTACCTACAGGTCTCAGTATGATGTAGGGGGGCTAGGGTTGCCACCTGTCCAGGATTCACCCGGACAGTCCGGGTTTTGAATGCTGTGTCCAGGTTTGATGGCAGCAGAAACCCGGACACAAGATGTCAGGCAGACAGGGGCAACCAAAATTAAGATAGGGGCTACTGGCCCCCCACTGAAAATAGTCTAAACTGTGGTATTTACATATGAATGGGCGGCGCGATTTACATATGAATAAGCCACGACTCATTCTCAAAAAAAAAATGTCCGCGCGTCACTAGAGTGTTCGGGTTTCACTTGAAGAAAAGGTGGTAACCCTAAGGGGGGCAGCCAATGGATCCACAGCACTCAGTGGGGCACAAAGGTGTCTAACATACATTGATAAGTGTGTCAGATGTAGAACATTCTTTGAAGAACAGCAGTGCAGTTAGCAGGACAGTTAGGTATTAACTGTGTTCTTCCACAGGCTCTTCTTTGTTTAATTTTTTTAGAAGCAAAAGAATCACTTAAGACTTCATTTATAATCTTTCAATGGGCTGAGAAGCAGGTCCACATATTCACTCTGTGCATGCGTGTTGGGGGGCCCTCAAAAATAAATGGCAATTGCACTGCAATATGCATACACAGCATGCTACAATAACACATAAAAGCGTGTATACGTGTAAACATTTAGGTGACATTTTAGCTTTATATACTTGACAGGTGAATAACACTTTGCAGAATGCCAATATGAAGCAGCAAGACAGATGTCATCACCACATATACCTGCTGCTATAGAGTCTCACTGACTGCAGGGTCCCTGTTACTGCCACCTCATGTGCCTTATTTCCGGTTTGTGAGCTGTTTTCAAATGCAGCTGAAGATATGAAGAATATTTTACTTACACTGTAAACTAGAGATTCATACTTGGAATTAGTTTACAAAGTAATGGAACTCCACTTTGTTCTCTGTGTCCCTGGTTACTTTGCTAAGAGGGACATTTTATGATATGTTTTGTG